CCATGTGAGGCTCTGATGAGCAGATGACCTCAATAGCTGCCCATCCCAGGCCAGGTCGGCTGACTTCAGCTTTGAGGTTAAATGTGGTTCAGTGGTGATGACGTTGTCTTCTCATCCTGATCTACTGTTCATTTGTTGGTTTTCACAGAGAAGTGATTGAGAAGAAACCAGAAAAGTTTAAAGTGCAGTGCTTGACGGACATCAAGAACCTGTTTTTCCCAAACACGGAACCCTTTTATGCTGCCTTTGGGAACCGCCCAGCTGTGAGTACTTACGCCTGTGAGGGGCAGGGCACCCCGCTCCTTCTGCCAGCCAGGGCCTGCAGGGCCTGCCAGAACCTCCCTTCTTGTCCAGCAAGGCCACCCTGCTTACAGGCTGGGTGTGATGGCGCATGCCTGCCACCCCAGCACTCGGGGAGGCTGAGACAGGAGGGTCTCAAGTTCAAGACCAGCCTGGGAAACTTTGTGAGGCTGCCTCGAAATACAAAATTAAAAAAAGGACGGGAGGTAGCTCAGTGTGCAGGTCCTGAGTTCAGTCCCCGTTAGTGTAACAGAAAAGCACAAAGACTGCATTTGAGAACATTCTAAGTTTTTTCTTCTGACCCCTGTCAATCCCAGGACGTGTACTCCTATAAGCAAGTGGGCGTATCTCTGAACAGGATCTTCACCGTCAACCCCAAGGGAGAGCTGGTGCAGGAGCATGCCAAGACCAACATCTCATCGTGAGTGCCGTCTCGGGTGTCCCTGAGGGGCTTGGCAGGGACAGTAGGCCTCTTAGCCGGTGCTGCCTGTGTTTCATCTTTAATCCCTTTGAAAATATGTTCTAGCCAGGCACAGTGGTGTAATTCCACCTCCCTAGGAGGCTGAGGCAGGAGGATCACAAGTTTGAACGCAGTCTGTGAAACTCTCAAAAAATAAAAATGCACTCAGGCATGGTGGCACACACCTGTCATCCCAGCATCTGGGAGGCTGAGGCAGGAGAATCTGAGAGTTCGAGGCCAGCCTGAGCTACATGGTGAGTCCCTGTCTAAAAGAAACAAAGTGGAAAAAACAAAAACAGCAACAAGAAAATGTAAACTAGGTTCAATTTTGCAATAAAAGGAACTGCATGAATCTGAAAGCTTCAGGTTTGATTTGCCGAGTTAGGCTTGAATCCTAGAGCATGAGTTGGATACATAGACGGGTTGGAACACGAGGAGCGCTGCGTTCCGGCCCACACTGGACACTTCCTTCGCTTCAGTTGTTAAGAATCCCCCTTGTATTTCTGTCAAAGTTCGGTTTGTCTGAGTCAGTGGGCTAAACTAGATCCTAGGTTTGGTCTTGTTTTGTTTTGCGGTACTGGGGATTGAACCCAGGGCCTTCTCGCTGAGCTGGATCCCCATTCATTTATTCCTTCATTCATTTTTTAGTTTGAGACTTGTTTTTGCTAAGTTCTTCAGACTGGACTTGAACGTGAGATCCTCCTGCCTCAGCCTCCCAGCATGCTGGGATGAAGTGCATGTCCTGTGCACTCGGAGCCTGTGTGCCACAGAGCTCCTTGCCCTCCAAGCTGCGAACAAGGCAGGCTGGGTGCTGGCCTAGCCACAGCAGCAGTGGCCCCGCAAGGCAGAGGCCTCCTGAACGTGCTGTTGGCTTTAATCCCAGGAAAGGCACCAGCCTAGCTTTGTACCCAGAGGGGCTGTCGCGCCTTGGGCACGTGCGCTGTTTACCACCAGGCCCTCCCAGCCGCTGGGCCTTCTTCAATAGACAGCCTTCCGCCTCGGATCCTGCTCATTCTTGAGTCCAGGCTTCGAAAGCCCGCGGGAGTCTTCAGTGAACCCGAAGTGCAGAGGTCCCGGGGATGGCAGGAGGGGGCGGGAGGGCTGAGAGGCCTGTGCGCGGAGCAGCTGGCTTTCCGC